CCGGCGGGGCGGTTGGCAGCTCAACTGCTGTAGAGGCAACCAGCAGCAGCAAGTGCAAACTAAACACAGCCCTACAGGTGAGGGTGAGCTGCCGTTTTATGATGCAACATGTGCAGCCATTGAGCCATTAGTCAACAGAGGTTGCATAGTGGGTACGGTGATGCAAACGCAGGTCTAGAAAAAACGCAGTTGACAAACGCCAGCACAGCTGCACGGCTTCTCAGGTTTGACCAAAATAATGTGTGGATCTGCAGCAGATATCGTGGGCATGGGGCTCTCTCTGCATGTGGTTGCTGATAGTCAGTGACAGGCTTCCAGAAGTTGACTTATTTGAAGGACAGGGAACTTAAAAGTGGCATAAAAAGTAAAACTAACGGCAGCCATGTGTTATTCCAGGAGTGGAATTTTCATTCAAAAGTTAGTAATTTGAAATAATAGGAGAGCTTGGTATTTTTGGTATAGAATGCAAACTTCCAGCTTCCTTGGACACCAATATAGTATTGTACTAGTTGCATCTGCGTGAAATGTGGGTTAAGTTGCTCAGACTTGCCAGAAGGGTAATGAAATGGCGGTCTGGCAGAGTACACAGTGCATAGTTGAAAAGTCCAACCAAAATGCGTCGGCTAGCATTTTTTTTTTTTTGAAAGAGAGTCAGGCTAGCATTTTTCCATAGCAGTGGACTAACCATTATGGCATTTTCTTTTGCAGATCATGAACTGGACCAATAATGCCTTTGCAACGCAGCAGTGCACATTCAGAGCCAAACACCATTTTTATGATAGTTAATGTCACTATCCAGTCAAGATAATTTTCTTTTACCAGTAGGCACGCGCTTGCTAGCTTTGACTTCTTATTGTCTAAGAAAGAACTGATAGAAACACGTGCGCTATGATTCCCATTTGCATAACACTGCGAGAAGTATCTGCATTGTGCAAACAACATTTTAAAAAAGGCATCAAGAGTCCTGAATATATGCATGATGAATTATATATATATATACACCTAGTGAGCTATAGAAAATAAAAAGAAATGGAAGAAACACTGTAAACATACTGAATGGAAAGCATCAACAAACAAAACGAAAACCCATACAACCAAATGTTGTTCATCATGATTTTGCCCTGTGAAGTGAAGCATGCATCTTGTTCATCATGACACTGAAAATCGGGTAGAAAGGCAGCCCTAGTCAAATCAAGGAGCCTTGTTCAAGTTTGCTACGTGCAACATGCCCGGCAGTCAACAAAACACAATGTATTCCGCACGGTTGGTATGAACATGGTGTCGAGTATAATTGTCCGTTGTGGCCAACATGATCACAAGTTTACAATAATACTGTACTGAAGAAGACAGCTGACAGCAGGTGGACAGCCTTTCAGTTGAAACTTCTTGGACCGAAATAAAATGAGAGAGTACCACACCATTTTGCATCCAGCTTGATGGTTGAGCAACCAGATTATATTGCTGTGCAGATTTGGTTTGATAGAAACTGCTAATTAACCAGTGGCTTATGCTACTCAAAATTGAGAGGAAAGCTAAAATCAACCGAGTGTTCTATCAATACCTCATTTTATGTATATACTTCCAGCTCGTGCAAGCTTCAAGGTGTCGTCAACTTATCAGCCTTTCACTCAAATCTTCTCCAACCATTCAAGAACCAGGCGATCCAACATCTTCAAGATCAACAGGCGGCTCAATACCACAGCTGATGCACTGGCGCGACAAGCTCAAAGCGCACACCCCTCTAATTTAGAGACCGTCTACTCTTATGAGCACAATGTACCCCAGTGCACTCTACTTCAAGCTCTACAATCTGTAGACTACTGATGTAACCATCCTTGCAGCCCGTTGCTGCTAATAATAAAGTTGTTTGTTGTCAAAAAAAAACTTATCAACCGGTTAGCAGCCTGATTCATCAAGCTCATGAGGCTGAAGGCGCGCGGTAGTGGTCGGATCTCTATTGAGTGGCTATGAAAAATCAGGTGTTGATATCCCTAAGAGTACTCTATCCCTAATTCCAGTACTCAACTTCCTTCCGAAAGAGGATATTTATATATATACCAAATATAGTAGGAGGCACTGCCAAGTCCATCTTGAATCCTGATGATTGGTGGAAAGTCCTGCTTTCCAACTGCAAGTAGGCAATCTGATCTGAAGGAGTATATAAGTGCGTGCTGCCGATCGTAATCCCTTGGACAGGAAGAAGCCAACACTAATCAATGTCCTCGGTGCTCAATGCTCATTGACCAAACTCCCAATCCGCCCCATGTCGCCTTCCCTGCTAGCTTTATCTTGGCTTGCTGAGCCACGAGTGGCATGGCACATGCTGATGTGCTGTGCATCACTCTCTCTCGCTGGTACGGAAGTAGGCTGGTAGCTCACAGGGCCAGTGGCCACCCCACCATTACAATGGTCAGTGGACAAAAAAATATTCCCGGCTCTTGTCTGCTGCTGCTCGTCCGTCACTGATTCGATCTCTTAAATTCATCGGCTTTCAAGAATCCACGCAAGAATCCGATCTCGAAACTACAGACCATCGATTGCAAACATGGAAGCAGTGATGGGAAGGATTCATCTTGTACTGGTGCAGTGCGTGGCTGCGGCGGCGCTGATATCTTCATTGGCCGCCGGCGTCGCCGGCGAGGCAGCGGCGGCCGTGGCGCAGGAGCTGCGGCAAGGCTTCTCCGTCGCCCACGACCAATCCTACTCGCAGTTCCAGCCAGTGCTCGCCGACCCCACCGGCGTCTTCGCGCTCGGCTTCCTCCGCGTCAACTCCACCATGCTGGACCTCGCCGTCATCCACCTCCCGTCTGCCTTCCCGCTCTGGCGCGCAATCCCCGACCGCCCCGCGCCATGGTCTACAGCCGCCTCCCTCTCCTTCGACGGCGGCCTCGTCCTCACCGACTGCGCGGCCAACAAGGTGCTCTGGTCCACCGCTGCCACCTCTGCCTCGGCCGGCGACCGCGCCGTCCTCCTCAACACGTCCAACCTCCAAATCCAGGGCACCGGTGGCAGTTCGCCCGATGTCGTGTGGCAGAGCTTCGACTACCCGTCGGAGACCATCGTCCAGGGCCAGAACTTCACCTCCGCGGCGACGCTTTACACCATCGACCGGCGCTTCGCCATGCGGCTGGGGAGCACCTACTTTGGCCTCTACATCGAGCCGCCGCCGCCGTCTTCGGGCGTCGTCGTCGCTGCCGCCATGTACTTTAAGCACACGGCGATGGAGGCCAAGGCCCAGATTGTGGCCGGCGGCGGCCCGACCTACGCGCGCGTGGAGCCCGACGGCTTCCTCGCCATGTACCAGAGGGAGGGGCCACCCGCCGACGTGCTCTCCTTCGACACCTTCAACCGCGGCGTCCGCGCCCTCCGCCGCATGACTCTGGAGCCCAACGGCAACCTCCGCGCCTACTACTGGGACGGCGCCCGGTGGGCCCTCGACTACACTGCCATCAACGACCCATGCCAGCTACCCGCCACCTGCGGCGCCTACAGCATCTGCGCGGAGCCTAGTGGCCGCTGCCAGTGCCTGGCCAACGCGACCGATGGCTCGGGCTGCGCCGCGGTCGTGCCCGCTTCCGCTGGGAGCAGCCTTTGCGGCACCACGGGCGGGGAAGTCGGCGGGCTGTACTGGGCGGTGCGGCGGCAGGGCGTGGAGCCGGTGAACAAGGAGCTGCTTTGGTCCGAGCAGACGGCGTCCGCGACGGACTGCGAGGCGCGGTGCGAGCGCAACTGCAGCTGCTGGGGCGCGGTGTACAGCAACGGGACCGGATTCTGCTACATCATGGACTACCCAGCGCAGCTTCTGGTGGCGGGCGACGACAGGAAGATGGGATACTTCAAGGTCAGGAGCATGGAGGAGGAAGGGAGACGCGGCGGTGGGCGCACGAACGGGGTCAAGGCGGTGCTGCTTGTTGTCGGCCTCACGGCGGTGGTCGCTGCTGCTGCGTTCGGGGCGTACAGGGTATGGGACAGGAGGCGGCGGACCGCCGCGGACGCGAGGCGGCAGATGGGCGCCGCCGATGACGGGCTCTCGCCGGGGCCATACAAGAACCTGGGGTCCTTCAGCTCCGTCGAGCTCACCAACTCCTTCCGAAGGTAACCAGGCCTGAGGCGAAGGCGACTGAGATGTGGAGCTGTCCGATCGCATGGATGTCTCCGCCGTGAATGGGACAAGGACACAAGGCAGGACCAAGAGCACCAGGACGACGGCACCAAGAGCACCAGGACGACGGCGGCGGCGAAGGATGTGCCCGATTGTTGGGTTTGGACTGAAGGAAAGAGATATTCAATTTTGGCCCAGAGCTTAGCTTATTGTCTAGGATTGAGCCCAAGTGTTTGTGCTGTTCAGCTTTGTGGCTGAGCACAAGAAATATGAATACAATGCCAGATTACGAAGACTTTCACGCTGTAACAAAACTTATGCTTACAAGAAAATCAAAGCCCCAACTGCCAGAAGAAGGACCAAACCTTAATTTCTTTGAATTGGGAGGGGCCGCGCGAACGCGTAGCCTATAGCGAGCCCTCCCGTCTCGCTCTCCTCAGGCAGGCGAGGTGGTACTAGCCGAGCGCACCTAGCGAGCTGGCCGTCTCTTGTCTGCTGCATCTGCGCGCTCCGAGCCTGAACTGCTCGTTCTTCCGTGGGCCGTCTTATTAGTGGGCCTGCATGTCCGGCCCGAATTTAGTGCCTTCCGTTCTGGTCCGTTCCATGTCATGTCATTCAGATTGTATACACTGGACTGGACACTGCGGAGTGCGGCGTGAATGAATGAAAAAAAAAAACCCCGCGAGCATGGGTTTCAAACTTCAATTCAGGCTATTGGATCACAAACATGTGCATACAAGCAAGCGCAATGAGCTTTTGGAAATCAGAATAAATCCTGTTAAAATTAAACCAGATCGAATTCCCAAGACTAGCCCCTCCCTAGACACAATCTCAATTCACAGAGTGCCGTCCCAATCTCAGTTCCCAAGCGTACGTGTGTCAGCAAGCATGCACTAGCCTAGCTAGCAATATGTTCGGACGCGCCGGCGCTGCCTTCGCTCTGCGTCGCCGCGTCGGCGCAGCGAGGATGGATACCAGCAGCAGCTGCTGCTGCAGGGCTCGGCTCTCCCGAGGAGGCGGGCTCTTCGGAGATGATCTCCAGCAGGCCATCATCCCCCATGTCGTCCGTCTGGTGCTGGTGTTCGACTGCCTGCGGTGACGCGCCGAGGTCGGACGAGGACGCGGGGACCTGCTGGGCGGTGGCCGCGGCCGCGGCCGCGGGGCCCCTCGCTGCGGCGCCGGCGACGAGGAGGCTGTAGTCGAGCGGCGTGGCGCGGGTGCCGTTCTTGGCGCGCAGGGAGGCGCGGCAGACGGGGCAGGTGGGGTGCTGCCTCAGCCAGGCGTCGATGCAGGCCGCGTGGAAGGCGTGGCCGCAGGCGGGCAGCACGCGCACCATGTCCTTCGCCTCGTACACCTCCAGACACACCGTACACCTGCACCGCCACAGAGAGAGCACGCGCGTTCTTGTCAGTCAGTCCATGGGGGAAAAAATCTCTGCAGTTCTTCTATCTGGGCACCCCTGTTGTGTTCCTCTTGCAGAATGCAAGATTCGTCAGGTTACTACGTGATTGGTGATCGTCATGTATGTATTCAGCACGGATGTTAATTGTTAAGACATTGAACAGAAATGCTACTGTGCAGCAGCCAGCAGCTAATGTTGTTTTCACTTTGACTGTGTGCCAGTGTCAACCTCAATCTGACAGAGTCCCAAATTGGCAATCAATATGGCCTTTTCAGATGGTGTGATAAGCCAGTTTCAGAGCTGCATATGCACAGCATCTAGGGCTGTTTGATCCGGTGACTAAAGTTTAGGGGGTGTCATATGGAGGTGTTGATTGGGGTGTTCGACTGCTAATAAAAAAACAAATTACAAAATCCGTCAATAATTCGCGAGACGAATTTATTAAGCTTAATTAATCTATCATTAGCACATGTTTACTGTAACACCACATTATCAAATCATGGACTAATTAGGCTTAAAAATTCGTCTCACAAAACAGTCTTCAATCTGTGTATTTAGTTTCGTAAATAGTCTATATTTAATACTCCATGCATGTGTCCAAATATTCGATGGGACAACGACTAAACTTTATGAGGTGAAACCAAACAACCCCTAGACTGAAGTACAATTTATGTTTCAGCAATTAAAAAAAATATTCTTGTAGGTTGCCATATTGGCTTGGGCTGCAAAAGGGTTTATGAATTGTCTACTGCCATGCCAATGCCATGGTCTACAAATGGTAGCAAAGGTTAGCACAACGAGGAGGATGCTAGTTTAATCGTGGCAAAATGCAACTTTACTTGGTCCATAGTCCATCTCCTATTTGTCATCTCAGGTAACATGACGAGCAGGAGGGAAAGAGCAAGAGAAAAAGGCTTGGATATCTTAACTGCGACTCCTCCTGCACCGGCGGCGGTTGCTGGCCGCCGTCGCCGTCGCCGAGCTTGACGGTGGGGAAGGTCCTCACCACGGACGGCTCCAGGCCGTGGATGCCGCGCTCAACCTGCACGGCCACACAAAAACGATTCTGATTCCCATTCGCCTTCATCCAAAACCCCTGGTGCACGGTCGCTATCAAAGAGCACGGAAGGATGGATAACACGGCGGTCGGGAGAACGCCTCACGTTGTAGCCCTGGACGACGAGGCGGCGGCGGCGGCCGCCCTGGATAGGTGGAGGCGCGCGCAGAGCAGCCTGGTGAAGACGAAGAGCACGAAGAAGGCGCTGACCGAGAAGGCCATCACCGTGGTCACCATGTTCATGCCCATCCCGCCGGCGCCGCCCTTTGAATCTGCCATTGCTCCAGCATCTCAGAACCGGCACGGCCGGCCGTCTGCGCAACAATCAAAACGGCTCATTCGTGCTCTTTTGCCGCCTCTCGATCGAGAGATTAACTCGCTTATCTCCACTGCTATACGAACGTACCTGGACGTCGATTTCCTCGGCCTGGCCTGCAAGGACAACGTGCTATCCACTCTGCATCCCGCCCCGCCGTTCCAGGGTAATTAAAGAGCAAGAGGAGGAATAGCCGCGGATAGAGGCGGCATGGCGATGGCGATGGCGAGTGTGCCCTGCGCCTGCCGCGCCTATGGGAAGTTGTTTAATTTTTCGCTTCTCCTAATCGCGATAGATAATCTATGCTCACTTGTCGACCGCAGGGGACACGGCGGCAATAAATCCGGGGGCGGGGAATCTAATCCCATTGTTAATGCGCTCGTTGGATTAGCCCGCGATTAGCAAGTCAATCATGGAGATTGGAGGGGCCCAACTGCCCGAGCAAAGCAAAAGCTCTCGCTTTCACCGGAGCCGCGGTGGTGCCCGCTCGCTGCCTTGTTAATTCTCCTCTTGGTGATGGACTGGGGTGCGCAGCGCGGTGGACCGCCTCTGCTCGCCGTTGCCGTGTCGATTTTTTTCGCTCCTTGCGACAGGTTGTCACTTGTGTGATAGTAGTATTCGCAGTGTCGTCCGCGGCACATTGTGAGTTGTGACCGACTTCTTTTTAATTAAGTTAAATGCACCATAAATTCATTAACATGTGAGAAGGTTTCGGTTAGGTCAATCAACTTTCAAAGTGGTTTTTGGGTCCATAAATTTTGTACGCCGTATCACTTGGGTCCATACCTCTCCACGTTGGCTTCTCGTGCTGACGTGGCATGATGACTAGGCTGAAAATAGGCTACCGCAACCCGTGGCGTGGCGAAAGCGCGAAGCCGATGCCGCCACCGTGGTGCGCGATCAAAGCGGCGAAGCGAGCCGCCATCGCGGCGGCGAAGCGAGCCGCCATCGCGGCGCCAGGAGGTGCCCGCCGCCGCCGCCATTGTATGGGGCGAAGGCCGCCGCGCCACACAGAACGTGTTCGCGGGGGAGTTCCCGGGCGCGGCGGTGTTCCAGCTCCGGCGGCTGGAGTCGCTCGACGTCGGCCACAACTTCTTCAATGGCACGTTCCCCGGCGGCGTCGCGGCGCTCGGCATGCTTTGTCGGCCCGCTCGCCGTGCTGGAGATCAGATACAATGCCTACGACGGCGGCGTTCCCGCGGAGTTCGGCAACCTGACGGAGTTGTTCTGGAGCTCGCCGGTCGGATCTGAGGAGGAGAAGGAGGGCGGGGCTGCGGAGTTCACCGGAGAGGGAGGGGCAGTGGGGCTCGCCTTGGCCATGCTCGCCGCCGGGGCAAGGGAAGCCTCGCCGCGGGGGAGACGGAGAGGGTGAAGGGTGGCGGCGCCTCGAGCTCTCGTCGGAGGAAGCCGCCTAGAGAGCACAGCCGCCTGGAGATGCGCCGCCGCGACCTACAGCCTGGGGTACTTGCGAGGCCACCGGACATAGAGCAGAGGCCTAGGGCGCCGGCGGCCTGGGCTCATCGGGGCAAGGGACCGCGACGCCAAGGCAGGGCTCATCGGGGCACCGCGGCAATGTGGATTTCCGTTGTGGTGGTGGCCTTTGCGGGGATGGCGGTGCTCGCTGTCACCGCGACGCCGGGCCGCAGCATGGCGCGCGAGGATGGCACCGCGCGCCGGGTGGCGGTAGTAGTCTTGGCGGCAAGACGCACGCGCCTAACGCGTCGTCGTCGCCGGGCCCCAACGCGCACCTCCCACCTAGCATGCTCGCGATGCTCATCCCGCCTCCTCGCCGCGGGACGACGACGACGACGACATCGGCGACGTCATGCAGTGACGGCGCCTGTGTCCGCTCGGCCAGTGAGTTTTCGGCGGACGGCCGCTTTCGCCTCGCCCTTGGCGGAGATCGTGCTTTCGCGCAATAATAGCGCAACGCTGCGGTCTCGCTACTAGGCCGCCACCGCCGCCTCTCGCTGGATCGTGGTCGCGCGCCGCCTTGCCGCGCCGGAGGATGACCTTGACGCTGGCGGACAGTAGCGCCGAGGCGCACCGCCGCGACATCAGCGGCGACGTGCGCGAGACGGATGGGGCTTTCGTGGACCTCGGATGCGTATGGGAGGAGGGAGTCGTAGCAGAGCGCCAGGTACAGCGTGGTGGCGCAGCGTGCGCGGAGGAAGGACGCCGCCGCCGACGATGGACTCTTGGTCGCTGCGCTCGGTGCGGATGATGCCGCTGTTGTGTGCGTGCTAGCGTTAGTGCTGCTAGCGCCTCGTGTTGCCGCGGCAGCCACGGTGAACACGACGAGGACGAGGTGGCCGCGGCGGGCATGTTCGCGCGCCCGCAGCGGCGGCGGCGTCCACAACATGTTTGACCAAACCAAGCGTCAATAGTTGCTTTAAAAGGACAAATCTGCAGACCACGTCAGCACGAGAAGCCAACGTGGAAAGGTATAGACCCAAGTGATACGGCGTACAAAGTTTATGAACCCAAAAAACCACTTTAAAAGTTGATGGTCCTAACCGAAACTTCCTTACAAGTCAATGGATCTCTGGTGCATTTAATTCTTTTTAATTTTATTATTTTCCTTTTATATTAATTAATCGTGACCAAACCGGCAAACCATGTGCTTAAACTGCTATACATCGTCAGAGCAGATGACACGGCATGGCGAGTGAAATGCACGCATGTACCATGTATTTTATATATTTGCGCTGATTAGAATCAGATTCTAGACGAAACCTATCCAAAATCCCACCCAAACGTGTTACATGCGCTGACTAGAATCTGATTGTTTTGGCCGCGTAACTGCCAGTCTGCACGTCGTGATCTCCCCTGTCGGCCTCCTCCGTTGTTTCCCTCCCTTGCGCAGAGAAGGAACTCCCCGCTCGTGCAATGATGGAACGGCCGGCGAGGAGTAGGAAGGAGCAGTGGCGGACCTAGGATTTTAATACAGGTTATGTCGCATAAATTTTTCTTACGTAATTCGATAAAACCATTTTCAATTCAGTAAACCATATTAATTAAATTTCATTAAAAACCCACATTATATGTTATCTTCTAATACTAATATGTTGGACGAACTGTGAACCACACTCTAACAACTTATTTGCCTAATCTTCCTGATGCACAACTAGTGTTGAAGTGCAGACTTTGTAAAGTGGACACGACACTATATAGAGCTACCAATTTCCATGCCATGCATAGCTACCAACTTCCATTCCATTTCATGGTGTATCCCACAGTACACAACAAGATGGGATGAAAATTCTTAGAAGGATATTTTGTATAAAATTGATCTCGATAGCATTAAGAATGATATTTTGTATAAAATTGATCTCAATACGGTTCTTGAAGATTTTGCATCAAGAAATACCCGAAGGCGGGTTTTTAAAAAGCACTGGAGCACTATAGTTTTATTTAAGGTAATCATAATAGTTATTTTACTGTTCTTTTTATCTTCTTTGATGTATTGTCGTTATTGTTTATAAACTAAATATATGTTGCAAGTTAACTCTTATTAATAGTACTATATACTTCAATCGTCATATTAAAACATTAGATTGCTAGCCCTTTACTGTTTTGTTCGCCCAAGAGCCCTAGAAATTATTGAGACGGCCCTGATTTTACTCTTAGTATTGGGATAGCAATCGAGATTGTCAAACACCATGATTTTTGGAGCTATAAATTTTTTAACCACAACTTACAAAAAAATCATGATTCGATTAAATCGATTCTCATAAAAGCTATTCCAAACATGGCTTTAAGGCTTGGGAATGATTTCTTTCTTTTTTTCTAAATTATTAAACAGCAGATATGTTACCTATCTTCCTAGCATTGAATAAATACAACTAGTAAGTTGGATTGTGTAAATAGCGTGGTGACTCATCCTATTACTAAATATTTTAGCATATTTTTCTTCACTCGAAATTATAGAGGAATCCCTCTTAAGAGAAGAGAACCGCACTGCAGGTCTCCGACACACAAGTTCAAGGAGCTGTGGAAGGAAACTGCAGGTTTTAGAGGTTAGGCGAGATAATCAAGTAAAACATATTACTCTATTTGATGATAAATCGAAATTTGGCCCAACTTCTAAACTTTTGAATATCAATAATACTACCTTCGTTCTAAATTGGAAGTCATTTATCTTTTTAGTTGTATAGTTTTATGTACCAAGATATACAAATACATAGTAAAAGATATGTATTGAACCAGAACGACTTACAATCTTGAATCGAGAGAGTAGTAATCAAAATGATTGGTTTGAACTTAGTAGCCGAAAACGTGGAACATGGCCACGTTCTTGTTCCGGTAACGTCGTTACGGGAACAATCATGTTCATATTCTAGGAATATTTACGTTCTCATAGTACAAGTATATTATAAAGTATAGCTCCACGTTCTCATTCCCATTTCATGTTTTGTCACACTCGATTTTATGAACAAAACCGAATGCTAACTATATGTATGGTGGGATCAATTTTCACACATACAGTGAATCATGAGTGAATAATCAATAATCATGTTTATTAAACCAGTGTATATTATTCTTACAAAAGAGACACAAATGTTTAACAAAACAAAAAAAATGGAAACTCCAATCTCACAGTTGAGCTCCACTCCGTATGAAGATTGATTGGGGCACCCTATGCCAAGCACTTCTGGTAGTCTTCTGGAAACTTCTCACCATTTTGGTGATATAGACCTAGGGTACCTCACTGCCCGTAGAAGAGCCCACTACGGATAGGGTGGGACGAAGATGTCAGATATGAGGCTCGACCAAGACAAGGTGCATCATTGAACTTGGTGGGCAAGGAACCATTCGAATGGAGCAACCGAATAGGAAACTTGTATCTTAACCGAATGGATCTCATAAACCCTACCTCTCGTACTATGTAAGGCGAGGTAGGGAGCCACCATTCGGCACATGATCATCAATCGTAGCAATCCTAGGCAACTAGACATCAACG